TTTATTTGTGTTCTGTTGATTTTGCTAAGAATTTTGTAAATGTAAATCATAAAAAACCCACAAAGTGAACAAAAAATTATAAAATTATATATATAGGGATAAGTGTATATATGAAAAGTGATAATAAATATAATGGTTCTAATAAATATCAAAAAGCAATTGATTTTTTAGAAAAAGGTTGTGATTGTGGTTGTTCTTCAAGAATTCCCAAAGAACAATTTGCAGAATTAAGGGAATCTTTTCAAGCACTTTCCAAAACAGAACAAGACATATTTTTAATGGCCCAACTTAAAGCCATGGATGGTGGATCAATAAGCAGTAGTAGACGCCTTAAAAAGAAAACCAGATCTAATAAAAAAACTTTCTACCATTGGGATCACAATACACTTCTTTGTCAAGAAACTTATCTCAATATGTTAGGAATTGGCAGGACTTATTTTGAAAATATTAGAAATCATTTGATAAACAATGGTCTTCTACCAAGAACCCATGGTAATATTAAAAGAATACCTCAATGGAAAACTAAAATGGTGATTGATAAAAATGTTGCTGAAGTAGTAAAGAATTTTCTAGAAAATTATGCAGAAGTCCATGGATTACCAAGTCCAGGCAGAAGTGTCAATAGAATAACTCAATCAATTGTATTCTTACCAGCTGAAATGAGTTATAAATCAGTACAAGAGATTTTCTAGCTGGTCTAGAGGAAGATAGTAATTTGAAATCCTTGAAGTATGATGCTTTTAGGAAGTTGTGACATCAATTAACACCAGAGATTCAAATTATGAGTCCAAGGACTGATCTGTGTGATACTTGTCAACATTTTAGAGATGGTTTACATTATAATGCTCACCAAGAAGAAGAAGCTAAAGATTTGCTCAAAAGATTTAAAGAACATCTGTCCAAGGCTAAATTAGAAAGAAATTATTATAATAAAAATACAAAATTAGTGGAAGAGCAAAAAAAATTAGTTAATCAGAATTATTCCAAGGGTAAAACACAATATTGCAGCATTGATGCTACTGCTCATTATAGTTATGATTGAGCCCAAAATATTCATGTGCCACATTTAGATCAACAAGTAAGTAAAATCTATTATCTTAGTCCATGTAAAGTTCATTTATTTGGTATTCAAGATGAAGCAGTAAGGGAACAGATTAATTATGTTCTTAACAAAGATGAAATTATAGGAAAAGGACCCAATGGCACACTTAGTATGATCTTTGATGGAATTAAGAAATTGAATAAAGGTGAAAAACATTTAAAGATTACTTGTGATAATGCTGGGGGACAAAATAAAAATAATGTAACAATTTGATTTTATTTGTATCTAGTAATTTGTGGTTATTATAAAAGTATTGAATTGAATTTTATGATTCCAGGACATACCAAATTCAAATGTGATGGTAGCTTTGGTTTAATAAAAAAACTCTATAGAAGAACAAGAGTAGATTGTCTGGATCATGTGGTAGAGGTAATAAAAAAGTCTAGCCCAGCAGGATTAAATAAAGCTCAATGTTATGAAGGTGGAAAAGGCTTTCAATACTTAGATATTAAAGCAATTTTGGGAATTTATTTTAAGAAATTACCAAGCATCCAGAAATATCAACATTTTCTTTTTGAAGCAACTAATCTTGGTACAGTGAAAGTTCAAGAAGTTGCTAATGGACCTTTTGCTGAATTCAATTTATTGAAAACCAAGAAAGTAGATATTTTGGAAGAAATTAGAACTTTATCTATTTTAGTATTGACACCACCCCTTTTGGATTACAAAAGACAAGAATATCTTTACCAGAATATCCGCCCATTTGTGAAAGATGAATACAAAGATATTACTTGTCCAAGACCAATCTATACTGGCAATGAATAAAATATTTAGAATAAAATCACTTCCAGTATTTCATTTGTTATTACTGTCATCAAGTTTAATAAGTTTGATTTTTTGACAAATATTGCTAGCTTTTAGTAAAAAAAAATACTAAAATAATTATATACTTAATATACCCTCTAAAAAGAATATAAGTATTATTAAAAGAATAAATAAATAAGAGAATAATGGTAAACATCCTACAAGAAAAAAATAAAAACTCATTAGAAGAAATCAAAACATTAAAAAAACAATTAGCTGATAAAGAAGTGAACTTTAAACTAAGAATTTAAAATGCAGTTCATAGTCTTACCAAGAGTTCAGAATATACTGGTGTAACTTTAAGAACTTTAGAAAGATCCACTTGACCTAACAATGGTTGTGTAAGTTATCCAGAAAAGGATGGAATTGAAATTGGAAGAGTTGTTGTTAACAGTAAATTCACTATTGAAAATATTGTTCAAAGCTTTTCTAAAGAAGCACAAAATTATGAAGAAATTTTTTGTTTTACTTATCAAGAAAAACAAGAACTAAAAGAAAAGAATGCTATTCTAAAAAAAAGCGTTGCTGAGTTAGAGATAACCAAACAAGAGTTAGAAGAAGCATTAGAATTAGAGGAAGAAACATCTGAATGTCATTTAGACACTCTTGAATTGGCTAGACAGTGGAGAATAAGACAAAACAAAGAAAAGATGACAACTTAGAAAAAGCTTTGAGAAAAATAGAGTTGTTAGAAAATATTGTGGCATGACAAAAATATTTAGCAGACAAGCAACTTCAAGAACTGCCAGAACCACCAATTTTACCAAGAAAAAAAAACAAATTTAAACTCCTAACTAACAAAGTAAAGAACAGAGTTAAGCAAGTAAAAGAAATAACTGGAGAAAACAGCAACTATCCAGTGCTAAGGAAGAAATCAGTTCTCATTTGGAAGCCTTAGAAGTTTCAAAAGATTGGCATAGTAAGCAAAGGCAAGAATTATTAGATAAAGTTCAAAGACTTGAAACTGAGGTTGAATGACTAAGAAAACAGCAGACCCAACAAACTGCTCAAATTGAAGTTAAAAAATGACCTTGATTGAAAATAAGAAAGTAATTTAAAGATTGAGGAAATTTCCCTCTGTATAAATTGAAATTCATTCCAACTATCAAAGAAAATGGTAGTTACTTTCCTTTTAAAGATTTTTGCTTTTTATTGGATAATAGCACATCTTCATTCTGCTTTCTTTTTCCAACATTTATTATTTTTGGTAAATTTCATAGGTAATCCTTTCTTTTCTTAGATAAGTTTTGTGTAAGTTTCATTTATTTTGAAGATATAAGGAGCAATTTTTTCACCTTGTTCCTTTTTTAAAATACTTCTAATGGTGCGTAATTTTTGGGTTCCATAGTAGATCTGATGTAAATGAGTTTCATATTAACTATTTTTATATAGAGGTAATTCTACATATCACTTAATATCAAGAAGATAACAAATGAGTGATTTTAATAATCACATTACTAAATTTTGATCCCTAAAGTTCTTGGTAATACCAATGTTCACTGTCTGGTTTTGTTGCAGCATGCCCCATATAACATACATTGTTTATTTGGAATGTTTATTTCCTCTTCTTTAACAACAAAAAAGTTTGACAAGTAAAGAGTAATAGTACATATAATGAAAAAATGATTTGATGGTGAAGACAAAGAGTAGGTAATCAATCATATAGACTATAAGAAAATTATTAAAAAAGGGAAGGTAATAAAAACTACAGCTAATTATCCATTCAGAAAAGTTTAATGTTTGCAAGGTCCATTATAGAGAGAATGGGGTTGTTTAAATGAATAAACTTAATCAATAGATTGAGATAAAAATAAATTGCTGTTTATTTATTTAGGATGTATTTACAACATTATTATTTCAATTTTTTTTTTTTTCAAATTGGATACATTGGCTCATGTATGGATTTGTCACAATAACTATAACTAACTCCAAGCTTTATTATGTGAAATGGGCATGTAAAAATGTTCTTTGCAATGAGACCTTAATAATAGTTTCCAAAATAAAATTTACAAATTTAATTTGATGCCAGTTTCTATACATATAAATAAAATTAGTGACTAACAAAAATTTTAGCAAATGGCTATTATGGTATCAATCAACCAATAGAATTGAATTTGAAAAGGTTGCATGTTTATTGAGTTTAGAGTTTGCACAAGTTACAGAGACCTTTAGACTAAAAGGCTTTTCAAAGTTACTAATACCATCCCCACTATGAGATTTTATGTGGAAATAAAATTTATTACCATGAGAATAAAATTTATATCCATTAAAAAAAAATAATCAACCACCACTATTTATTACTTCTATTGCATCTATATCTTTATTATCATCACCATTTTTATCATCTTTATCATTTTTATTATTTGAACTACCACCAACACCTTGATTATCACCATCATCATCACCACCATTATTATTCTTAACATCAGGTAATTTCTTATTTAATTTCAAATCCATCATTTCATTTTCATTTTCAGAAGAATTACTGCCATTTTTATTTCTTCTAAATTTTCTCCCTAGGCTATTATTGTTTGATGATGTAGATGCTTTACCAACACCAACAATTGAAACACTCATTAAACTGGGTAACATTGCAGCAGCATGAAAGCCCTCCGACCTTTTTTCTTGCTTATTATCAACACCATTACCACCAAAATGTGCTTTAAATCTCCCACCCCTCAATGTTTTAAAAACTTTCAATTGGCTTTCAACTTTCTTAAATGCATTAATAACTTCTTCTTGGTCTTCAAATGTATCTTCATTATCACCACCAGCAACAGTATTACTTGAATAATCTGAGTTTGTTAATGGTTTCATTGATGATGATTTTCTTGTAGTGGAAGAAGATGTTGTTCCTTTACTAGCACTAGTACTTCTACTAAGAATCATTTTGATTAATAGTTTTGGTGTTAGAGGCTTAATTATATTTTTCTTTAAAAATTCATCTGGAATCAATCTTATTATAAAACCTATTGGTATTGATAAAAATCCCAATCCAATACAAATCAACCATTGTATAATATTTAGTGGTGCTGTTTGAAACGCAGCACCACCAAACGTAACTATGATAATTTGTCCTCCAATCGTAATAAAAAATATAACCAAAAAAAATTTATTCGCAATAACATTTTTAAAAATATTCTTATTATTATCCAATCTTCGACAACTTTTTTATTTTATTTTATATACATATACATATATATATATATTAGTATTTGTTTGTTTGTATTTTCAAAAATAAAAAGAAAAGAGAAATCAATAAAAAGCTTACTTAATTTCATTAAAAATTTGTAAACAAACAAAAGTGTTAAAAACCATAGTTCTAATCGTATTCTCGGAAATATTGAAAAAATCTTCACCCCTATACAATAAAGCGAATGCAATAATCAATTGAAGAATGGATTGGCCAATTATCATTTTCCACATACTAAAATTTATTAAAGGTGAATTTCTTGGTTCAGGATTCCTGTTCAATAATTCTTTTGTTGGTGGATCAGTTGCCAATGCTAATGCAGCCAACGTATCCATAATAAGATTTACCCATAATAGCTGGACAGCGCTAAGAACAGCTTTTTCTTCGTTACTTGATACAGCCGATATAAATGTCAACAATACAGCGGTGACATTGACTGTCAATTGAAATTGTAGGAATTTTTTAACCGAATCATTTACACATCTTCCCCACATTATAGCTTTGACAAGACTTGAAAAGTTGTCATCCATTAAGATGATTGAAGAAGCTTCTTTTGCCACCTCAGTACCAGCAATACCCATTGAAAATCCAACATCTGCTGTTTTAAGTGCTGGACCGTCATTAGTCCCGTCACCAGTAACTGCCACTATTTCACCTAATTCTTTAAGTTTACCCACCAAAATTCTTTTATCTTCTGGACTCGATCTAGCAAGAACTTGTAATTTCGGTATAATTCTTTGCATTTTATCTGATGAAAGTTTGCGAAAATCAGGTCCTTCCATGATTATACCACCATCATAATCTTTATCATGAGGGTTAGTCTTATCTTTATCCTTATTATCAGGAGTAAAAATACCGCATTGAATTGCAATGGATCTAGCTGTCGATATATTATCACCCGTTACCATACGTACATAAACGCCAGCTCTTTTACAATCTTCTACGGCTTCTTTTACACCATCTCTTAACGGATCTTCAATACCGAATATAGCAATCAAAGTAAGTTTCTCAGCCAAATATTCATATTTTACTTCATCATCGTCGTTTAAAGCAGTAACATCCTTTGGAGGCCATTGTTCAAAATCCCTATAAGCAACAGTGATTGTTCTAAGACTATCATTGGCAAAAGACTCGATAAGTTGTTCAAGTTGTCTCATATTATAACTGCTGCCGCTACTAATGTCACCACTACCATTATTATTGTTTATATTTATATTATTTAAATCAATCACATCACCAGTGGCAATATTTACTACCGATTCTGATTTACTTAACAATACCTCACTAGCACCTTTAATGTGAAATCTCCATTTGTCTTCTTTTTTAATCAAAATACCCATTGCTTTACGTTCAGAACTGAAAGGAAACAATTGTACGACATTAGCTTGTGATCTTAAATCATTGAATATTTGGCTGAGAAACTTACTTTGATTGCTATATTCGGTATTGAAGATCCGTTAAGAGATGGTGTAAAAGAA